GATTTTTATAAAATAAAAGTGAAGCCGATTTATTTGTTTACTATTTTAATCAGCCATTATTATATCGGGCAGAAAACAGTAAATATCATATATAATATAGAGAGTAAATTCGCGACATAATTTCTTTTACCTTGCTGAAGTATTTATTTAATTCAACTATTTTCATCACAAAATGGTAAATTCTTGTGCTGCATATGGATATTCTAATAGATACATAAAAGGTGGCAAGAAATCCTTTCATAAATTTTCTTTTCAAAATTCTGAATTATGTAAAAAATGGATTATTGCTTTGAAACGTGAAAATTTTCTTTCATCCAAACACACCTGTATCTGCAGCGACTATTTTTTAGAATCAGACTACAATTACTGTATCCCAGACAAAAAAAATCTAATTCTTGATCATTATCATAAGCCTATTTTAAAATGTAATGCTGTGCCATCAGTTTTTGTATTTTCTACAAATATTCAAAAGACTAAAAGGAAACTCCCATCAATACGAACATCAGTAAATTCATAATCTAAATTTGATTCTTTTTCGAAAAAAACAAAGTTTGATGTTTGCCCTGTTATAGACAAACCAAGCAAAGAAATTAATTCAACACATAATGATCAGCCAGAAAGCACTATTGAACAAAATGACCACACTTGTCAATCTCCAACACAATCTATAAAATCTTTATCACCAGGAAAGGAAAAATTAAAAAAAAAAGTTAAGGTTTTACAACAAAAATTAAGAAGAAAAGAAAAGAAAATCTGCTCTTTACAAGACATGGTTTCCCTTTTAAATCTAAAAATTATTTGACTACTGATGCTGGAACTGTTTTAAGCGAAAATTTTTCTGCACTCTCATATGAAATTATTAAGAACCAATTTTCCAATCAAAATATTAACCCAAAAGGTCACAGATACAACGATGAAGTAAAAAAATTCGCTTTAACTCTTCATTTTTATTCTCCTCGTGCGTATAACTTTCTTCGGCCAATGTTATGTCTTCCTGCTGCCAGTTCAATATCACATTGGACATCATCTGTAAATTGTGATCCCAGTTTATTCCTTGATGTTTTTTCATATCTTAGTGATAAACAGAAAACAGATATTAATTTTAAGCATTGTGCTCTTATTATTGATGCTATGGCAATCAAAAACAGTATAATTTATGACAAAAGTTCAGGTCACTATATTGGTTTTTGTGATTTTGGTAAAGATATTTCTGTATGTGAACCTGATACTCCAGCTACAGAGGCATTAATTTTTATGTTAGTTGGTTTGCGAGGACATTGGAAAACACCCATTGGTTATGTTTTATCAAATAAAGTTAAAGCAAGTGACTTAACATGTTTTATCAAAAATATTTTAGATGTGGCTTTGACATATGAACTTTGTATCAAAAGTATTACATTTGATGGTACTAGTACAAATTTAAATTCCGTTGTCCCATTTGGATGTAAGTTTGGCAATGTCATAGACAATATAGTTAGTACTTTTTTATATAACAACCAACTGCTCCACATTTTCCTAGACCCATGCCATATGCTTAAATTAGCTAGAAATTCTCTAAATGATTTGGGTGTTTTTATTGATGATGAAGGCTGCTATATTAAATGGAGTTATATTAAAGCTTTGTTTGAGTTACAAGAGCTTGAAGGTTTAAAATTTGCAAACAAAATTTCAAGAAAACATATTGAATTTCATCGCCACAAAATGAATGTTAAGATAGCTGGCCAAACACTTAGCAGCTCTGTTGCTGATGCAATTGAATTTTTAATGGTATCGCAGCATCCATCTTTCTTAGGAGCAAGTAGTACAATCCGTTTTATAAGAGTTATTGATAAATTATTTGACATGCTCAATTCCAGAAATCCAAATGGTAAACACTTTAAGAAACCTCTATATCTAAATAATCAGCTTTATTGGAAAGATTTTTTAAACACTATGATTACTTATCTGAGCAAGTTGACTGATATTAATGGCATTCCATTGCTTTTACATCGAAGAAAGAAATTTGTTTTAGGTTTAATTGTAGATGCTAAAAGCACTCTAAAATTATCCTTCGATCTGTAAACACTTCATGAGAAGCCATTTAAGTATGTTCTAACTTACAAAAATGCAGATAATAAAGTTGGAAACTGAAATTACAGATTTAAATTCTAAAAACAAGACTCTTGACACACATTGTAACTCATTAAGTTCTCAAGTAGAGACTATGAGTATTAGACTAGGAGAGGAGGAGCAGTTTCTACTTATTTTAAAAAGACAACTTAAAACAACACATCGTAAATTTGCATCTGCTCGTAGCTGTAATTCAAAATTGCAAAAGAAAGCGTAAAAGTTAACATAAACCAGAACAGTTGCCAAATTTGCAAATGTTTGGTTAGCGGTAAGAATTTAATTGTTGTGGATTCATATTTATGATAACATTGGTTCTTCTGAATTGTTTTCTGGGTTTAGATGGATTAAGCCACAAAATTCATCAGTTAATGACCCAATAGTTGTTCAAAAACATATTTATATTAAGTTAAGCTGTGCTAAACAATATTTGAAGTTAAGTAGGCGTAGTGCAGCTAGGCAATCTAAGGTTGCCGTTATATTCCTTCAATTGTTAGCTGGTTCAGATGTGAAAAGTGATTTGTGTATGTTGTTATGTGATATCCTGTCTCGTGAAATGTCAGTATTGCATTGTGTTGGAAATAAAATAGGTTTTGTTTCACAGTTAATCGTTTTAGATGCTGTAGAGCTTCAGAGCTAATTAAGGATGCCCACGGCTGAATTTCGTAAGCTTAGGCGTATTCTGTGTAATCTTGGTGCAAGGATTCTCCCATCTGAGCCCAAGATTAGACAAGAACAAGAAAGGCGGACAATGCATGTCGATAAAGATCATGTCACTGTAAAGTCCATGTTGCTTTATCCATCTGCGAATGAAGCCCCTTGTTTAGTATCTGTATTAATGGTTAAGAGTTTGACAACTTATATTGAAGAGGTTTACAACAATCTTCAAAGTTTGTAGATATAGTAAATCTACAGGCTCGATGGATAGCCAGTAATAAAAATGATTTTTCTGAATTAGAATCCATATCACTAAACTCCTTCGATAAAAAAATCAGTATTAAAAAGTCAGAAAATTGTGCTAGCATTAGGTGTTTAATTACAAAATATGATTCTAACATCGATTGGATGCAGTGTGGTACGTGTCAAGAGTGGTTTCATCAATATTGTGAAATTATTGGTGATTCTGAAAAGAGTGTATTGTGTGACATAAAAAATTATGCATGTTTAGCTTGTCAGGGTGAAGATATAGAAGATCTTCATCTGTATATCTCAGAAAAAATTTATTTTATGCGCGCACAACAAGAAATTTTAGATTATGAGTATACACGATTGCAGATTGAATGCGCAGATCTTGAAAAAAAATCAAAAAGCGACATGGGCACTCATGAGAAGGCTCTTCTGCAGGTCCTTGATGATATGAATGTTCAGCGGCAAGCTTACCATGGTAATGTATTTGTTGGTAATCATTGCAAAATAGTTTTAAGAAACCACTTAAAACTTTGTAGTGTTATTGATGATGCGGCAATTAGAAATAAGTTTTTGCGTGTGTTTAGCGTTTTCAATAAGTTGCAGCCGGTTCTTTTTAAGAGAAAATTTCTTTCCGATGCCGAAGTTATTGAGCTATGTCAATATACAGATTTATTTGCTTGTGAGTTTCATGCTTGCTTTCCTAATGAAAGTATTATGCGAAAAATGCATGAACTCACTTTTAATGTGCCACTATTTGTTAAATCGCATAAAACTATTGGATTGCTGAATGAAGAAGAAGGAGAGAGTTTGCATGGCGGCGTTAATCAGGAATTAACGCCGCCATGCATTATATATATATATATATATATATATATATATATATATATATATATATATATATATATATATATATATATATATATATATATATATATAAATATATATATATATATATATAATATATATATATATATATATATATATATATATATATATATATATATATATATATATATATATATATATATATATATATATATATATATATATATATATATAAATATATATATATATATATATAATATATATATATATATATATATATATATATTATATATATATATATATATATATATATATATATATATATATATATATATATATGTATGTATGTATATATCCTTATAGTGTAGTCAAAAGAGACTTTTATGGTAAAAAAAGTCTCTTTCGAGTACAATTTATATATATATATGTATATATATATATATAAATATATATATATGTATATATATATATATATATATATAAATATATATATATATATATATATATATATAAATATATATATATATATATATATATATATATGTATATATATATATATATATATATATATATATATATATATATATATATATATATATATATATATATATATATATATATATATATATATATATATATATATCCTTATAGTGTAGTCGAAAGAGACTTTTATAGTAAAAAAAGTCTCTTTCGACTACAATTTTTATTACCTCGTCTCTTAAGCTGTATTTGATTGTCGTCGAAATGTCAAATCAATTAAATTAATGCGGAAGTACATTAAATTTTATTGTTTTTTAAAAAAACTGCAATAATAATTAGTAGAAAGTTTTTTCTAGTTGTGCTGTTTTTGTTTTATTAAAAAACATTTTTTAAACATGCGTAAGTGTTGCTACATCGACTATCTTATAGCCTGCTGCTACAAGGGAGTGTTGCTACATCGACTATCTTATAGCCTGACTCGCAACGGAGTGCTGCTATATCGACTGACAAATAGCATGACTCGCAAAGGTCATTATTGACCTTCACACACACACAGGCACATAATAGTATATTATTGACCTTCACACACACGCACACACAGGCACATATATTTATTACAAAATAATCGTTTTGCAACAAAAAAAATTTTTTTATGTCTTTTATTTTATATAGCATTTTATTTAATGCAATAGTTTAATGCAATGTTATAGGTAATAAACAAATCAATAAGTTAAACTAGATCTGCTACATCACGTTGTGTTAAGAGTAGTTAAACAAGATTAAAGTAAAATTCACACAATAAGTAATGTTGAAAATAGTAAAAATTATATAAATGCGACTTTGAAAATGCAATAAACTTTAGTTAGGATTGATATTGCCATAAGCCTTGGAGAATAAAGCTGATATCGAAAATTTATATCAGATATATTGAAATCTTTCAACACATTTCACAACTCCTACTTCTAAAATTAAAAGCTTATAGAATAAATGACTAACTCTACAATTGGATTTTGATGTTACCTAAGAGATCGGCATTAGAGTATCATTGTTGGTGGTACATACTCAGAATGGATAATAGTAAATATTGGGGTCCCCCATTATTAACTTTTATGATATATAATAAAGATTTTTCTGATTTGGTTTTAGATGTTGTATCTGTATTTACAGATGATACTAAGTTATACAGTTTGCTTTTTGATAGCTCACCATGCAATAACCTGCAATAAAGTATGGACATTATAGCAAACTAGGAAAAACTATGAAAACTAAGTTTTAATGTGAAAAAATGTAAAGTTATACCCTTAGGACCAACAAATACAAATTTTTCCCTAAGGACCAACGATGCCCATAGGACCAACAAATACAAAATTGATTTATATACTCGTTTATAAAAATCTCAATACTTCTATTAATATTAAAAACTCTCTCGTCAATAAAGGGATCTTCATTGACAGTAATTTGACTTAAATTAACACCGATAATAAAGTTGTAGGAATGATCAAAAGATCATTTGTCAATCTCAATATCTTGACATTTCGTACTTTGTTTATTTTCCTTGTTCGTCCTCACCTTGATTCTTGCAGCTCTGTCTACTATCCTAGACTTTAAAAAGATCAACAATTAATTTAAATGTTCTATGCTAGTCTAGTAAATTTGTTTTTGGCCAGACTCGACTCACTTGCAACCAAACACTACAAGACTAAATTTAACTAGCATGAGCTATCGTTTCTTATGTAATGACATGGCAGAAACTTACAAATGCATTCACAATCTTTATAATTGTAGTTGCAACCCTTTTGTTTCCTCATAAAATACCATTCAGTATTTTATCTATCAACACCTGTGTCAGAATGATGTCATCTGCACAGCCATTATATTTATTATTGTAATTACAAACCATCAAGTAGTTATTCTGAGTTGTAATAGAATGCGTGTTAATATGGCCACTTCTTAATATTAATATATAATTATATATTTAGTTAGTATTTATTCCTCCATTATGACTAACTCTCACTTAACAACATGCGATCATGCTTATAAATTGAAAAAAATGTTTTGTAAGACTGATGTCTGGAAAAAAACTTTTCTTATATGGAATTCACAAGTTTGTAGAATAGTCTACCATCTGAAATAGTGTTCAACATCTGTCACGACATTAAAAAAACATCTAGATGCATCTTGGGTTCATCAAATGTACAATTGCAAAATGGTAAATATTTACTTAGAGCCTTAAGATGTTTATCTTCCTTAATGTCATATTTAAATAAGAAAATTTTATCAATGAAACGTTCCCAAACCGCGCAAACTTTAAAATTCACCTTTTTTTACTAACCATTAATTAAACTCTACTTGCAATAAAAGGCGATTACATTAAACATTAAGAAATGAATCTCAATAATTTTTAGACATATATTTTCAGTTGAAAAAAAAAAAATAATCACAAAAAAGAAAGTTAATCTGAAGTTTTTTTATATCATAAATTTGTTTGTGATTATTTTTTAGCTGATGCACCGTTAAACTGAAGGTGGTAACAAAGTTTACAAAATTTGCTATGGCTGAATTTTTCAATGAAAAAACAATATGTGTGCTATGAATGTAATCTGTTTTTCATAGTGTATCAATGAAAGTTTGATGTATTGGCCAAATCACTTGCAAGCATCTTGCTATTAAACTGCCATACGTAAAGTCATGCTTTTTAAAGTAACTGAAAGCAGCTGAAAATAAGAATATTTTGGTAATTGTCTTATTTACAATATTGTTTTTGTTTTATTTACAGTATTGTCTTTGTTTTTATCTAAACAGCTATGTTTGACTCAAATATAGTAAATGTTGATTGTTTAGTATGGTTTTATCTCTTCTTTATACTTTTTTTTGACAGTTATGAGACTGTTTTAGAACGGAATTATCTGTGCCTACAGCTTAAAAGGATGCAGGTTACAAAATAAGTGACACTGAGAGACAGATTGTCTCTCAGTTTCTCAAAGAATAAAGAAATCTTTAGTGTTTTAGGGTTAAGTGATTCCATCAGAACTTTGCTTGACTATCTCTTTCGATTTATTGAATTTATTTGCCGGTTATAGATGAATAAAGATCTTTTAAACCTAGAAGAAGAATTATGGAACAAAGACACCTTAATAGTATATATCAGTGTATATATCAGTGAACTGATATTAGTTAATAGTTTTTGGAAACAGTACCATGTACTATTATACATTTATATGAAACATACAAACAAATGATACAATATGATACGTGATTGACTATAATTATGTTGTATATCAGAATGTTTTATATAAATGCTCATTACATTTTATTGTGATTTTTATCTTTTATGCCCAGTTAGCGTTGTATTTTGTGTAGCAATGACTACTAATCTCAGATATCTTTGACATCTGTAGGGTGTATTCACCGCTACAGATGTCATAATCTATTTATAACCAATTGCTTTTACTCTTCCATAATGTCATATTTTAATAAGAATCACATTATGTAAAACCGTCTAATACATGCACATGAGGAATCATTATACTTTTAATACAACTAATTATATTACATTTGTTTTCTTATTTTAGATGAACTTTCTTACTTCGGTTCGAGGAGAAGAGAAACAACTTACAGTGGCAATATTAATACAGCTAATGGCCAAAGAAGTATGTTTTTCATACTCAGTGTATGGAATGAAACAAAAACGTCCTGCAAGGTCGTTATAGGTAAAGCACAATATTTGTATTCTACATCCCATTTCCTTTTAATAAATAAATATTTTAATAAAAGCTAATTACTTTACAATATTTATACGTGAAAAGTTATATATTTCAAAATTATATTGTGATGATATTTAAAAAACATTTTATAGAGTTGCGTTTAGTCGTTTATCGTTGTATTCGTTCATTCCGAAATCGCTACTGAAAAAAGTATTAAAGAAAAAATTGGCAGATTAATAGAGATTACAAAGAAAAATAGAGCAATGAAATAAGTATCGCCAATATAATGAAAGTCGATGCCCACTATCTCATAGTGAGAGTATACAGTAGTTTTTTTTCATTTGTATTTGTTTCATATACCTTCAAATAAATTTAATGATTTCGAATTTTTTTCTTAAAGCGTGTTCTATGATTATCGCATCTCCTAGACTATAACCTGTTTAACTCAAAAGAGTAATGCAGCCTAGTACTATAATATCACTTATATTAAGAAAACTGTTATAAATTTTAATTATTACAAATTTGTAGAAGGCAATATTTTTTATTATTTTTTAATAAGAATTTAATCAAAAATACTCAATATATTGCCTTAATTTAGTTATATATACTATATATATCAGGATAATATTGTAAACTATATTATGCCAATATTGGCCAATATAATATCCCCATTATTGGCACGATATTATTTACAATATTGGCGCAATACTATAAACTATATCGGGCCAATGTTGCAGTGTGAACATTTTGCCAATATTGGCCAATATTACTTTACAGTATTGGCGCAATGTTGTATCGCCAATATTGACTTTACAATATTGGCGCAATATTTTTGCGCCAATATTGGCAAAATGTTCACATTGCAATATTGGCCCGATATAGTTTACAATATTGCGCCAATATTGCCCCAATATTGTTTGCTTTTAGGGTGTGTATATATATATATATATATATATATATATATATATATATATATATATATATATATATATATATATATTCGTTTGTATCATTAGATTTTAAAAAGTCTTATTTTTTCAAAGCGTTCCTAGATTATTATCGCTTTCTAGACTATAACTCAAGTTATATACAATTATAGTCTAAACCATATACAAAAATATAGTATAGACTTAAGTCTATACTATAGACTGCATTATTCTTTTGGGTTAAACAATTCATGAGGCTATTGCTTAGTTGTTAAATAGTATACTGAGTACTATCTATACTTGAGTCAAGTTCTTTATAAATTTAAAATGACTAAAGTACCTAAAACTAATAAACACAAAAAACCATTGTCATCACCAAGTTCTCTAAACCTATCATTTACTAATATTCGTGGTCTTCGAAGTAACTTTTCTTCTGTTGAGTCTTATCTCTTGCAAAGTTCACCAGACCTACTTGCTCTTTGTGAGACTAATTTGAGTTCGGCTGTCCCAGCTTTTGATCTTAGTGTTGATGGTTATCTTCCTTTAATTCGTAAAGACTCCAATAATCACATGCTTGGCCTGGGCATCTACATTCGTAAGAACTTACCCATTTGTCGTGAAACTAGGTTTGAATCTACTGACTATTCTTTTATGTGCTTTCGTTTAGCACCACTTCACTCTATCGTCTTTCTCTTTGTTCTATATCGCTCTCCTTCATCCCAAGATTGCACTATTCTCGATGTTATTTCTGATCAAATTGACCAAGCCCTCTCTCTTTATCCATCGGCCAATATCGTCGTTGTTGGTGACTTTAATGCCCATCACACTGATTGGCTTGGCTCTAGTGTCAGTGACTCTGCTGGCGTTAAGGCCCTCAATTTTTGCCTTTCTCAATCTCTAACTCAAATAGTCAACTTTCCAACTCGTTTTCCAGACAACCCTAATCATTTACCTTCTCTACACGACTTATGTCTTGTTTTGGATCCTAGTCAGTGCTCAATTTCTCCACATTCACCCTTAGGTGCTTCTGATCACGGTTTGATCTCTCTAAAACTATTATCAAATTCTTCTACTTCATCAGAATCCCACTATCATCGTACCACATACAACTACCTTAAAGCTGACTAGGACTCTTTCCGTGATTTTCTTCGTGATGGCCCTTGGGTAGAAATCTTTCGTCTTCCTGCTGACAAATGTGCTTCTTACATAACTTCGTGGATTCAGGCTGGAATGGAATCTTTTATTCCCTCTCGACGATTCCAGGTCAAGCCTCACTCTTCTTCTTGGTTTTCCTCACATTGCGCTGCAGCAATTTCTAATCGAAACCGTTACGTCCATATCTATCAGCAAAACAATTCTCCAAAAAACAGACATCTGTTCACTATCGCCAGAAACCATTGTAAAAAGGTTTTGTCTGACGCCAAAGCTCGCTATTCTCAGGTCATAAAATCTCGTATCTCATCACAAAAATTAGGCTCTCGAGACTTCTGGAGAATCTTTAACAATATCAATAATAAGGGCAAATCTGTTATTCCTTCTCTCTTGTGTGGTTCAGACTTTGTCACCTCACCTAAAGACAAAGCTGAATTGCTTGCTAAGAACTTTTCATCAATATCATCTCTCGATTCCGCTAGTTGCGTTCTACCTGACATAGCCGTCAAACAGGTAGACTCTTCAACAGCTTGTGGTCCTGACAACATTCCTGTTGTTGTCTTGCAGAGGTGTTCTCCGGAGCTTTCATCCATACTTTCAAAACTATTTAACAAGTGCTTATCAGAGTCCTGTTTTCCATCATGCTGGAAAGCAGCATCTGTTATCCCTATTTTCAAAAATTCCGGAGAGCGATCTGATCCATCTAACTACCGTCCCATTAGTCTTCTTCCTGTCAAAAGCAAGGTTTTTGAATCTTTAATCAACAAACACTTAATCTCTCATCTTGAATCAAATAACTTACTTTCTGATCATCAATATGGATTTCGATCTTCTCGTTCTACAGCTGATTTGCTAACAGTAATAACCGATAGGTTTTACCGTGCATTAGATAGAGGTGGAGAGGTTAAGGCTATCGCACTTGACATTTCTAAAGCATTTGATAAAGTTTGGCATGCTGGTCTTCTCCATAAGCTTTCTTCTTATGGTGTATCTGGTAACATCTTTAAGAATATTGAGTCCTTTCTTTCCAATCGTAGTATAAAAATTGTCCTCGATGGACAACACTCTTCTTTATATCCTGTAACTTCAGGGGTTCCTCAAGGTTCAATCCTTGGCCCTATACTCTTTTTAATTTACATTAACAATCTTCCAGATATTCTCACATCTAAGGTGGCATTATTCGCTGACGACACTACCATTTACTCTTGTCATGATAAAAAGCCTACACTCTCTGATTGCTTGGAGGGGGTATCTGAGCTTGAAAAGGATCTCACTTCTGCTACAGCATGGGGTTCACAGTGGCTGGTGAACTTTAATTCAGATAAAACTCAATTTTATTCGGCCAATCGTTATCGTAATAATTTAGATCTTCCTATATTTATGAATGGTAATGTACTAGATGAGTCATCTACCATTCATCTTCTAGGATTAACTCTTACTTCTGATCTTTCTTTTAAACCGTATATCAAATCCATTGCAAAATTAGCATCTGCTAAGGTTGCATCTCTTTATCGAGCTCGACATTTTCTTAATCCAGATTCTATTCTCTATCTCTATAAATCACAAATCCGTCCCTGTATGGAATACTGCTGCCACATCTGGGGCGGATCTTCTAATGATGCCCTTTCTCTTTTAGACAAGGTGCAAAAATGCATTGTAAACATAGTTGGACCTGCTCTGGCAGCCAATCTCTAACCTTTGTCACATTGTCGTGATGTTGCTTCTCTTTCTCTTTTCTACAAATACTATAATGGGCACTGCTCTAAAGAGCTAGCGTCTCTTGTGCCATCTACTAAAATTCATTCTCGTGTTACTCGTCATTCAATTAAGTCTCATCCTTTTTCTGTGACTGTTCCTAAGTGCTTCAAAAACTCTTATTCTTCTAGTTTTTTTTTCTCGAACATCAGCTCTTTGGAATTCGCTTCCTTCATCTTGCTTCCCTGATTCATATAATTTGCAATCATTTAAGTCATCAGTCAATCGTTATCTTGCTCTACAGATTTAGTCTTTTCTCTTCCAGTAACTTCCAACTCTTATAGTGGTTGCTTGCAGCCTTGTTGGAAGTGAAGATGTTAAAAAAAAAAAAAAAAAAAAAAAAATTCATCTCCTCTGTATTATCTTGTTCTATCTTCAAATGTAATAAATAAAATGTTCTATCTAATATATAAAATAAATACAAAAAGTATATATAAATATAAAAACATAAAATGTTCTACCTGATATAATATATTATATTATATTACATAGAACATTGAATATATTTATATATAATTTTTTTTTTGTATTTTACATATTAGATAAAACATTGTGTTGTATTTTTAACCCATTTGATCATCCACTTTTTTTGTATTTATTTTACATATTAGATAGAACTGTGATCTTCTAGAAGCCCTGCCGGTAATATATTCAATCTAAATTTACCTTGTATATATTCTGGCGAATAAATGATAAAATTTAAAAAAATAACATTTTATTGTTTAACACTAAAAACAACATAACTATATTACGCCAATATTGGCCAGTATTATATTTACAATATTGTCCTAATATTGTAAATGATATCGCGCCAATATTGTAATGTCAACACTTTGCCAATATTGACTTAACAATATTGGCGCAATATTGTACCGCCATTATTGGCGCAATATTGTACCGCCAATATTGGCGCAATACTGTACCGCCAATATTGGCGCAATATTGTACCGCCAATATTGGCGCAATATTGTACCGCCAATATTGGCCAATATTGGCAAAATATTGACATTGCAATATTGGCGCGATATAGTTTACAATATTGCGCCAATATTGTAGACAATATCGCGCCAATATTGCGCCAATATTGTTTGCCTATTGGGTAGAATGAGCAATTGCGTTTTATAGGTAGTATTTTTTAATACGCATTATTTAAAGTGTATATAAAAAACAGGCACTTTTGATTTAATTTTTACTTACTTTAGTCATATAAACTAAATAATTTATTCAATTTAAAAAATAAGAAGAATAAAATAAGAAATTCAATTTGAGCTAATCGAACACTATTTTAGCTACGTACAAACTACCT